TACTCGTAAAATGCTACGTGGTCCAATATGAATGATGCACACTTAAAATCAAGTGGTTCAAGAACGGTGCTGATGTTCTACTATACAATAAACACAATCGCAGCCAGTGTTGCCAAAACTTTGTTGAGGAAAAATGCTAGATTTTGTTGAAAAAAATGCTAGAAAGTGCTAAATAATTTAAAAAAGTGCCAGAAAAAAGTGCTACAAATTTCTAGAGCTAAATTTTTAATATTTAATAATGAAATATTAATCGGAAACCCCGTTTATTCTTAACGGCTATTCGTTGTCGATTTAGCCATGTCCGTCGCATTGAGGTCGCAATATTGAACACACAGCTTTGGAATTTTGCACAACGTTGGTACTACTTCTATGAGATTTGATATTGGAAATGGAATATATCGGTCCTTTTTGGGTACACCATACCCCAATATTTTTTTTAGGCACATTTGTATACCCTCCACCATAGTATGGATGGTATATTAATTTTGTTTTTCCGTTTGTAACACATCGAAATGATCATTTCTGACCCTATAAAGTATATATATTCTTGATCACCGTAAATTCTATGACGATATAGCCATGTCCATCTGTCCGTCTGAGGACAATTTGGTACATTGAGTTCTTATTGGGTAGCAAATATCTCCACTAAAAATTATAAATAGGGGTATTTTGTGGGGTTTGATAGCATTTTTCGACCGAATTCGCTGGAATTCGGTACTTTGAATTCTTATTGGGTAGAAAATCTCTATATTAAAAATTATAAATATAGGTCAATTTTTTTCGGGTAGCCCCCATATAAGGGTACCCCCAATTTCCAAATTTTTGGGTGGTTTTGACCGAATTGGTTGTAATTTAGTAATTTGAGTTCTTATTGGGTAGCAAATCTCTCCACAAAAAATTATAAATATGGGTCAATTTTTTCGGGTAGCCCCCATATAACGGTACCCCCAATTTTCGATATTTTAAGGTTCTTGAGCGCGTTTTTCAACCGAATTAGCTGAAATTTGGTATTTTGTAGTCGTATATGATTACAAATCTCCTCACCAAAAATTATTAATATTCACCCCATATAACCGGCCCGGCCAAACTTAACGCTTTTGCACTTGTTTATATTAAAATAGTTATCAAATGTCGGTATATGTACACTGTTTGGTATGTTCCCTATATTTTTATTTATAGTACCTGTCAGTATATTTATGGTGGAGGGTATCCAAAGTTCGGCCCGGCCGAACTTAACGCATTTTCACTTGTTCAACCTAAATTGCTCATCAATTGCATTGGTTTTAATTTGATTATTTAAATTTTTTGAGTCAAAAATGTCCTCATAAAAAATTATTAATATGGGTCCATATTTAGGGGTAGCCCCCACAGAGCGGTACCCTCCCCTTATTCGACATTTTGGGGACGTCGGACATGCAACTGAATTGACCAAATTTTTTCTATTTTTTGTTTTGGTGGGGTTTGAAATCTTCCTACTAATAATGTCCAAATTTGATTAAGGTAAATAACTGTAATTTCACATTACGTACAAATATGAAGACAATTATCAATTTCCGTCCCATTTGTTTACTTTTAAGGGTTTATAATCTCATTCCCAACAGCGACTTTAATATAAAAAATATGTTTGCCAGAATTTTTCTATTTTGGTCCTTATTCTGGCACAATCCCAATATAAATGGGTACGCTCGCCTTTTCGGTAATCTAAAGTGGTTATAACTTGGCATTCGGGATTCCCGCTGAATAAAAAACTATTTTCAGAAAGTTCCAACGTAATTGATGTTGGAATTATTTTTACATCGCTCTCATAAAATGTACAACTTAATTTGGATTTCCATTTTCCCAAATAAACAATCTACCAACAGACAATATCATAGTCACCACAAGAAGTACCCGACAATTTTTTAAGAAATTTGGAATGCACGGCACATGCTGGATAGCATTGGAAAATCAAATTCATCTCGTGAAACATAATTCAATATGAAATCGAAAAACGGGATTTTTTTGCATTGAAACCAAAATTTTGTAAATAAATGCCTAAGAAATTAAAAAATGCTAAAAAAAGTGCTAGGTGCTAGATCAATTTTTTTGGTGCTAAACGAGTTCAAAAAGTGCTAAATCTAGCACTAAAAGTGCTAAATTGGCAACACTGATCGCAGCCTAGTAACTTATTCCAGATCTAAGTCCAGAAATTGGAGTATAACGAAGAGCGCTAAATTCAATTTTTGGAATTTAGAGCTCTTCGGTCGCCCCAGTAGTGCAAAAAAATTTACTTTACATATTTTCTGTGTGGTTTTGGTAGGGGTTGGTCAAAATGTCGATAATATACAAACATTCAAACGTCCCTAGCTAATGATCAGTCAATTGCTTGACTTCCCACTATAGAATGGCGGCTATAAATTATTTTTGCTATCCCATTGAAAAGTTTGTGGTTTCAAAAGCATGGGACTGGAATTCGTCTTCTATCAAACTATGATGTCGTAAAAATTAGTTTATTTTATACCCTCAGCCTTAAGGGGAAATGCATATGAGAATTAAGGCCTGGTCTTTAAATTTTGTTTTGTATGAAATGAAAATTTATAAAGGAATATCTGATTCAAACTTGATTTTGGACAAAAAAAGCCAACTTTACATGCTATGCCTGAAGTCCTCTGTTAAACCAATAAGGGTAAAGGGTAAGGGCAGAAATGTGTCTCATCGAATTTAGGTTTTAGACCTCATGTCTCTTTCAACCAAATCCGTTTCAGACAATTTGGAGTCGATTTCAAAATATAATAACTCTCGAAGGGAGTAACCGATTTCATCCGAACTTTGCCCAACATAATATTTTAACCATTACTGTATAATGTTGACAAATGGGACTTATCGGCGCCCTCCCTCTAATACCTCCCCCACAAAGGGTCAACATTTTGAATTTTTTTACAGCATATTTCAAACACAAAGATGGAACAATCGTTTAACTCCCTTTTGGCAACTCACAATAAAAATAATAAAACATGTTTGTAATTCCGTATACCTCCAAATTTCGGTATACGTGTCAGTCGGATGAACCTTGTGAGACCGGAGTACCATTTACATAAATCGAACGAAATTATATGTGGGAGCTGAAGTGATATAAACGAAACTTTACATACATCATTCTAGACTCAATTCATCATGCTGTTCCAAATTTCGCATAAATCGGAAAATCATAAAATCTTGGTGCAAATTTTATTTAAAATCAGCCGAAATAGATATATCTAAATTTGTATCTTCAAACGGTCCAGTTGTTGACAGTAGAGATCAGAATTTAGCGTTCGGCCATATGGAAGCAACTCATAATAAATAATCCCCTTCCAGTCCCACCAAATGCATAGCAGAACCTTTCTGGCCTTTAGTCCTGGTTTGTCCACCATTTAAGGTGCTTCATCGCTCTTTGACCACAATCGTTTTCTCACAGGGTTATCGTATGTGATCCATTTCTCATCTCCAGTCACCATCCATTTAAGAAATGGGTCTATCGCATTCCGTTTAGCCAAGGAATGAGATTGAAATTCGAACCATCCTATTTTTTCTGTTAATTGGTGTGGCACCCAAACATTGAGGTTCTTTTTGAATCCAGCTTCGAGTAAATGGTTTAAAACAGTTTTATCGTTGATTTTTAGCTTCTGGGCGATCTTACGACTAACTAATATGCCGGTAAACTTCGATCATTTCCCCGATTTTATCGACATTTTCGACGACCGATCTAATGGATTTCTTTTTCCCCAACCTAATATGTGAGCTATACCTAAATCTGAACCGATTTCTCCAAAATTTAACACACTTTATTCCATACGTTATGCCAAATTTTGATTCAAAAGGACAAACCGTGGGAATTTGGTACCTCATTTTTATATAATCGGACGAAAATATATATGGCAGCTTTATCTAAGTCTGAACCGATTTTTCGCAATTTCAATAGGTGACTTATACCAACTTTCTTCCAATTCGGATCATAAATGCGAACGGACTGACGGAAAAGCAGAGACTTAGAAAGTGAAGTGGATGTTTTTAAAAGGAACCACATGTCGATCTCTTTTCCTTTTGCCTCTTAACAAATTTTCTTTTGCACAAAGACTTAATACCCTGTGTCACATTGTGGTAAAGGGTATAAAAATATATATCATGAAAAATATATTTTATGGGTTTTATTTACGTTTATTTTTGAAACCTTGAAATGGCTAACCCTATATATTTTTGATTCTAATTAAATAGTATTTAACCAACAGAAGGTTCTTAATTAATTCTGCTGGGTATTTCATTAAAGGTTCACGTTTATATATTGACCCCATATAAAGGGCCCTTCTATTTTAGGTATTCCGAACCTTTTCCAACTAAAGTGGCTGTAATTTGGAATTCTGGGTTCTTGTTGTTGGAGAAACGTCTTTACAGAAAATGTTCAACATAGCCCTAATAAAGGATCGCTCCATTATAAGCATTTTGATGGTTTTAGCGGAAATTTCCAACTTAATTATCTGTAATTTAATATTTCATTTTCTCAGACAGGTCATGTTCTAATATAACACTCATATAATAGTTCCCGCCTATTTTAGGAATACACACCACATGGTTGAGGATTTAAATGTCCTGTCAGGCCATCACGATAAAATTTTGCCTCACTATTTTAATACACTACACACTTCGTAATATGTCTGCCATAATTGGATCAAGTTCCAACAGGGAACCTGTCAGTGCACTCAATCTGGTACCCACCGTACAAATGATCTACATTTAGAAAAATTTTAAATACTGCAACATTACAGAACATATGTTTCTACTGTCAGGATGTAAGCAGTCAATTTTAGATAATGTTTCTTATAAACACGCACTAAGTAGAAAACCTGCATTCCCAATCAAATAAATAGACAAAATGTGGTCAATTCCTTTTTCAGAAGGAGTATTATATTTAATCACAGCTGTTGATTGTCAGGGATCATTTCAAAATTCGTTGTAAATATTGTTTTACTTCTATATCTCCGATCTTAGCCATAGAATCCACCACGGTAGCCGCCGAATCCACCATAACCGCCACGGTAACCACCATAACCACCATAACCACCATATCCGCCATAACCGCCACGGTATCCACCATAACCACCATATCCGCCATAACCGCCACGGTATCCACCGAAACCACCATAACCGCCATATCCACCATAGCCGAATTGACGAGCTTCACGATCACCGGTATTTTCATGACCCTGAACATCGACATCGTACAAGGATTGTGGTTGTTCGACATTGTCAACAGGAACGGCCATGGCCACGGCAACAAAGGCCAACAAGGCGAATACAGCTAAGAAACGCATTTTGCTAAGATTTTTTTTTTAGTTTGGGTGATCAACTATTCACGTTGAAAGAATACGAAATTCTGATACTGTTGCAACAATCAGCGTCCATTATATACTAAAATTTAGAAAATACACCCTGCCAGGTTATTTGCACAGATATGACTTTCAACCGAATCAATAAAATGGGGGGACAGCGTATAAAATCTTTTCTAGCGGCTTAAAGCAAAACGCCGAATATCGATTTGTATTTTTTATTTTGGTTTTGTTTTCTATTTTTCTCGGAATAAAGATTGCGGTGAAATCTGTTCTACGTAATAATGGGCAGAGCAGAAAAAACAACAATATTGGAATGGTATACGTTTTCGACGTAACGTCAAACGCACAAACGTTCGCCAGTCAGTGGTCATTATTGTAAGATTAGTTTGTTTGTTTGTTGTTTTTATTGTTATTAATATTGGATTTTCGCAGTGTTTAGCTTTGTCGTTAGTGTTATGATTGTTTGTTAAATTTCGTACAGGTGAGTCTGCATAATGTGGCTCAATCTCTGATTATTCCGAATGACTAATTTTATAATTCTCTAGACCATATAACATTTTAGTAATATAAAAACTTTGAATGTAAAATTTATATTATGTAGGGATCAATCGGAGTAGATTCGAATTCAATGTTCTGTGCTCAATATGATGTTCATCTGGATTAAACCACAAATTCTGGAAACAAATATGCAAGTATCATAAATCTAAATTCGTTAGGTAATCTAACCTAAATAAAAAGGTGTGGCAATATTTCTCATTTCCAAAACAGTCGAAAATATTTTGTTTAAGATTCCTCGTACTTCTTCCATTTTAGGTATGTTGTGACTTTGGCAATACTACTGATATAAATATGAGGAATATAAATCTTAAAAAAATATGAAAAAAATATTTTAGGATTAAAACCAATCATATTCTGAGTTTGTGTAAATTTTCCCACTAGATGTCATATTAGAAGAATGGTATAAAGATCAAAATTTTCACTGAACAAGAGTAATTGGTATATTTAGTATATATACCGAGTATATAAACGTTAATTTAGCACAAACAATTCAATTGAATTGAATTGGATATACTATTCCTCGCATCCTGATCTTTTGGGAAGAGATTATGTTTGTTTGCTTTTGAATCTCTTTTGATTTTGCTATCTCTGATTTTATTGGGTCTGATAAGATTTGAAAATTGTTTTGTCCTGATTTTTGACTCCCGCAACCAATCTTTGATATGTTTCGGTGTTTGTTTGATATTATTGTCATGTTGAAAACGCAAACTTTTTCGTCAGCGAAGAGAAGCAACACATTTTTCAACGCATTGGTACAATCAATACATCTCGTAAATAGGATGGATCGAATTTCCATCTGCGAAGCCTTGGCCAAACTGAATGAGAGAGACCAATTTCTTAAACGGATGGTGACTGGAGGTGAGAAATGAATCACATACGATAACCCTATGCGAAAACGATGGTGGTCAAAGATCGGTGAAGCTACTCAACCGGTGGCCAAACCAAGACTAACTGCCAGAAAAGTTTTGCTATGCATTTGATGGGACTGGAAGGGGATTATTTATTATGAGTTGCTTCAATATAGCCAAACGCTTAATTCTGATCTTTGCTGTCAAAAGCTGACAGTTTGAAGATAGAAATTGACCAGAAACGGTCAGAATTGCCCAACAGGAGAGGTGGCGTGTTTCACCAGGACAACGCTAAGCCATACAAATCTACAGTGACTCCTTTTTGCATTGCAAAATTTCTTTAAAAATAAAAAATTGATATCTAGGGAGGATTGTGAAAATCGACTACTAGAGTTGTGTGCAAATAGAGAGCACGACTTCTATGAGAGAGGCATTATGAAGTTACCTTTAAAATGGCAACAACCCATACAACAAAACGGTGCATATTTGGCCCAAATCGGACATTCCGAAGCATGTTAAATAAAATCCTATAGTTCATATAAAAATAATAATATTTAAATTCAGTACATTTTTAGGAATTGCAGTATAAATTAACCATATTATCAACAAATTTTATGTTGACTCCGTTAAGTGTTAATTAAACACCTTGCAGACAAAATTATTATACATCGAATTTCACTATGTGTTATGTTTTGTGCATATGTTTGTAACAGACAAAAGGAAACTCCTTCCTAAGTCGATTTATGCATGTCCGTCCGTTCGTCTGTCTGTCTGTCCATGTTAAATTGTAAACAAAGTACAGGTCGCATTTATGATCCGAATTGGATGAAATTTGGCATAGGTCACTTATTCGGCCCAAGGACGAACCCTATTGAAATTGGGAAAAATCGGTTCAGATTTAGATATAGCTCCCATATATATATTTAACCGATTTAATGTACGGTCCTTATATATCTTTCGATTTGCACGAAATTTGGTACAGCCTAATTATTTAGGTCTAGAATGATGTCTGCCAAGTTTCGTGAAAATCGCTCCTGATTTAGATATAGCTTCCCGATTTCATGTAAATGGAGTACCAAAGTCTCTATGTATCCTTCGATTTGCACGAAATTTGGCATAACGTACTGAATTGATCCTAGAGTGATGTCTGCCAAGTTTTGAGATTTCATGTAAATGGTGCCCCAAAGTCCCTATATACCTTTCAATTTGCACGAAATTTGGCATAACGTACTGAATTGAGCCTAGATTGATGTTTGCCTTGTTTCGTGAAAATCGGTCCAGATTTAGATATACCTCCCTTTTATTATAGATTGATTTGAAGTAATTGACGCACCAAGGAACCAATAGGCTGATAGGAACAAAACGTTCTGAAATTAGTATAACCTATATATTTTCGCCCGATTTCAAGTAAATTGGCCATCAAACTCCTCATGTTAGTCAGATTGACATCTTTGGACAACTTACAAAATTGAACATAGAATTACGTAGTTCCGTTTTCTAGAAGTACATACCTATTGATGAAATATTGATATTTGTTTGAAGTCGATTTACATACTTTTGTCCATTGTAACAATTGAATGACATGTTTATGGATAGATCTAAGTCGATTCACATTTAGATAAATATCACATATTTTATTTCATCCAATTTCATGTTAATAGTCCTGTTTAATATACCCATAGTGGTGAAGGGTATCATATAGTCGGCCCCGTCCGACTTTACTACTTTCCTTACTGGTTTTTAATTATCTCTAGTTTGGATATATACAGCAAATTTTTCATTTTGATCAAATTTCGCACTTCTTCTAAATAAATTGAATTCAAAATGTATAACTAAAAAAATACGTGCGTCAAAATCTAATTTATTATGAACATATATCCCAGAAGTCCTATTTCATATATTTAAAATCATATGAATAACATATTTTTGCTCGTTTAAATTTCTCATATATAAAATGCAAATATCCAGAACTGACTGTACTTATCGTTTTGATGTTTTCAATTATGAGCGGTCAACTTTTGATGGACGTATCAATAAAAACAACACCCTCAGTTAACAGGCCAACAAAAACAACACACACAGCATCAGCATTACTAAGCAAAACTGTTAACCCTTATAAAGCCCAAAAGTTGATTACAAAGGTGGGTAGTTAATTTGATGTTAAAAATTTATGTAAAACTACTTCCCGTATTTGATGTTTTGGCAGAAAGTGTGTAAGCTATTTAAACATATATATGGGAATCAAGTGGACTTTGATCGATCCTAAAATTTACAATTTGAAATCATAGTAAATATAACTATTTTAATAGGTCGGCATTGGATGCTTGTCCCATTTCCCTTCCCATATATTTCAATAATTATAGAGTGTAGCCTACCGTCGACTTCGCAAAATGAAAAATGTTTGATGTCATAAGTAATTTACCTTTCCTATTATGTGGGAAAATACGCACATTATACTATCCTCAAATATATGACAATGTTAGTGGAGTTGCCAACTAATTTAAATAACATCAAATTTTTATTTTAATGGGTATCCTTTTGCAATAGCCCTAATTTGGAAGTAATAACCTATTTAAGATATGTTGACGGTTTTAAACGTGTTTTTATACACTCCGCTGTATGTTAAAATTTATATATAATTTGGACACGTTTTTATTAGAATTGGCTGAAATTTTAAATTTTTCTCATTTGGGTGACAAATCCTCTTGCCAAAAAAAGATAAATATTCATATTTATATATTTCAGGATTCCAGCACGATCGCTGGTTAGAAATTAGTATGAATTTCTTAACCCTTTCAGTGTTTTTGTCGAATATATTCGACATTTAAAAATTCTTTCTTTGCGATTTTTCGGTTATCCTATGTACCGTTAACATTGATGTTTTTGTTTTTGCTGAAAAACAGACGAAACTGTCCGAGGGTTAAAACTCTATGCCTTTATATGATTATAAGTACAAAATTTTAGATTTTTATTCCGACAAAAATTTTTTTTTGTTTTTGCTGAAAAACAGACGAAACTGTCCAAAACTTCCTGCATATCCCAAACCTGTCACAATATTGAACCTAATTCCAAATTTTAGAATTCCAGGCCAAAATTCAAACTGTACCAAATTTAGTACAAATAAACTACTTATATCATACAATCAAGGAAAATCTTATTTCCCGATTCTAGAATTCCAGCTCTATCAGTTCACCCAAAATTTAAATTGTACCAAATTTAGTATGAATTTACAATAGTACATCAAAACCCCAATCCTATACTCCAACAGTAATCTTATTTTCAAATGTCAGTATTCCAAGTCCATCCGTTCACCCAAATCCAAATTGTTTCAATTATAATTCAATTACGATTTAGTAGTTTTGTTACACATAAGTAAAAAATTTTCAAAACTACGTATATGTCCCAATCATACACTCCGACGGTAATGTTAATTTCAAATTCAGGATTCCACCTACATACGTTTCTCCAAATTCAATTTGTACCAAATTTAGTACAGTTTAGTAATTTTCGTATACATGAGTAAACGCTTTCAAAACCACCT